ACTTGTACTTATTATCTTGTAAACAATTGACAAATCAAATAAATAAATAAATAAATAAATAAAAATAAATAAATTTTGTTATTCTGTTATTCTGTCAATGTTCGATGCATATCTGATTTGTATTTGTCTAGAATTCCTGCTGTATCTCTGAACGTGTGATATGATTTATAATTCTAACACTAGTCTGCTTCATTTTAAGGAAAAAGTTATATAAAAATTGTAAATATTCTTATAAGAGATAAACTTCATGTAATCATTTTACATTATTGCCCCTAGCCAAACCTATTTAAAAAGCAAGGAAAGCCTGAAGTAGCAAATAAAGAAATGCAGTGGATAAGTATATAGCAGAAGATTAGCTAATTGAGATTCTATTTGTAATTCAATTCCCTGACTTTCTTAAGTTTGTATACTTAGATATACACAGGATTCTTTTCAATTTGGGCCCAAGTCTATCGAATTAGAATTAGAATTATGTTTAAAGATAATTTTATATTGAGCAAGTGTGGTATTTTCAAATATTTGTCATTCTCTTTTGCTCTGTGAAAAATCCCATTTTCTCTTTTCTACTTTTTATAAAATACACCCCAAAATATACAGTGTTTCTTTGAGAATAAAGGCAAATAGATGAGGCTAATTGGCTAATGATAAATAAAGCACTACAGCTTGTGATGGAATAGCAAAACAACTGTTAAAATCTAAGTGAAAGAAAATAACATAATAGGTTCAATCAGACATAAACTAGAGCTACAGCATCAAGTCCATTCAGAACTTTTTTGCAAATTGGGTGATTGTTTCAGCAGTCTCATTTCCCACCTTTTCAGGTATCATATTTTAAATATATAGTTAATCTTTATAAAAGCATATTTAAATTAGTGTAATTGCTCCATGAGAGCAATTTCATGGGAAAGAGTCATCTAATGAGGAAGCAAGGGTTGACCATCTTGCCTTCCATGCTACAGTTTGCTCCTTGCAAATGCTCACATGACAAAAAGGGTTTGAAAATGTTTCATTGGTACTTTATCCTCTTCCCTCAGACATATCAAAAATTAACAGGAAGAATGACAGCATATGCCAGCTGTCTCCACTTCTTCTCCACTGATATGTAGCACTGGACAACACTACTATGAAGAAATGTGGCCCTGAAAAGAGATGATTTCCCAGTTACACTCTGATAGGTCTCAGGGTGATCATAATGAATCCATAATTGTCAATTGGAAGCAGGCCTTTTTGGTCACAATGCCTACCCTCAAGAATATTGTACCCACAAGATGAGATTCCAAAACACTGAAGATCTAGATGTGCTCCAGAAGGTTAAATGGACCATGAGATGTTATCATTGAATGTTTATTAGAATTATTGTAGAATCCATTGTAGGCTTTTATTGATATTGTTTTTGTATTGTTTGTGGTATGTTGTTAATCATCCAGAGTCACATCTGCAAGATGGGCAGACCTAGAAATCAATATATATTAAATTAATGTTTAATATTCTAATATTAATATTAAAATAATATTTAATATTTCCCCCATGTCCTATATTAGAACTTACATTCAAGTCAAATGTTGCAAGTTTGTCTGAAGTGTTTGAATTCCTCAGGTGTCAATTCTCTATCCTGACCATGTTGATTGGGTGTCAGAAGAAATATTTCCTGCTATTTTAAGTGTTTAATTTTACCTCATCTAGTTAACATTTTGCCAAAACACAACTTTCTTGATCTGGGAGACATAAGTACCTCAGTAAGAGTGGAGGCATTTGTAGTTCCTTGAAGGAGGCAGCAGATAGACGCTTGTCTATAGATCAAACATTTCTGGGGAGAAAATAGCTGAGAAGACTGGCAGTGGAAATGGCAATTTAGATCAGAATTATGTAGATTCTAGTAATGTTACAGGTGAGGACAAAAGCTCAATTAAAATAAAGTGCTTTGGGGCAAATTTAAGCTAACCAGAAAGATAGCATTCAGCCTGTGCAAATTTGGGTAGCACTTTAAAATGAATTAGATTAACATAATGATTAAAAACAGAACATTTTTGATATTTCAAATAGTAACAAAATCTGTGATTCTGATTCAGTTTCTGAAATTCATCTTACACTTCCTATAATTACAAGCATCTGCATCTTTTGTAGTAGTGGAAATGTGCTTTCTAGCTTCAAACACATGGAAAGCTTAAATCACAGAACTGCAAGGAAAATAACAATGTTGGGCTGAGAACTGGACCTAAGATTGTGGTAGTTAATTGTCCCGGAGTAGTTCGTTTCAGTTTGTTTTCTAATTCTATTGTGGTATCAAAAATTAACTTTTTACTGGGAATATTCTTTTTAAGGCATTAAAAATATCTACATGAGGGAATAGTTGGAATCTGTAAACAAGTAGTTCTCGATTTACAACAGTTCATTTAATGACTATTCCTTTGAATAATACAACAGCATTAAAAATGACATGACTGTTTTTCACACTGTAGCATCCCCATGCTCATGTGATCAGAATTCAGATGTTTGGTAACTAGTTCATACTTATGACTGTTGCTGTGTCCCAAAGTCATGTGATCATCTTTTGCAGCCTTTTGACAAGCAAAATCAATGGGGAAGCCAGATTCACTTAACAACTGTATTACTAACTTATCAACTACAGAAATTCACTTAACAATTGTGGCAAGAAGGGTTGTAAAATGGAGCAAAGCTCACTTAACAAATGTCTCACAATTACAGAAATTTTGGCCTCAATTGTGGTCATAAGGTGAAAACTACCTGTATATATTAGAAAGAATGACAGCATATCTTAGCCCCTTTGAAAAAGAAATAAAAATATTCTCCCTTTTTTTAAGGCTCCTGAACACAGCTCCTTCTTAGACATTCTCAACAGAGGGCAGGACTATCTGTATTTTTAATGCCAAACTACGCAAGCCTATATCCTTAGCTCTCTAGAAGTTGGGAATTGTCTGATCTGCCCACTCAAGATCCAGTTGTGGAACAACAAGACAGATATACTGAACTGGTGTATTATTATGGTCTGATTTTGAGGATGGATTTGTCCAAAACTAAATCTAATCATGCTCTTTCGGCTCTGTAATATGGCATTGATGCAAATACTTGAAAGATTTATTGAAGCTTGTTTCCTATAGTGCCTGATTTGCATCATAGTAAGCAGAAGAATGATTAGGAATCAAAAAGTGGGTGAATACAAAACATGTCATATTTGTACCACCAATTCTGCCTTATACAAGCAGGAATCTATTTTGAATTACCAAATTCATTTTGGAATGAGCCTCATCTGGATCCAAGAAATATGTTTGGTTTTCATAAGCAACTTAAAGGAAGATTTGTGGTAATTTATAATACAATTTGTTTATTTTTATATAGCCCTTTGGCCACAAAGGAACCAATGTATAATTACTTAAAACATAGTTGCTTTTGCAGCATTTTAAAAAGTAAATTCTGAAATCCAGGTGTATCCTTTTTTCTGTCTAAAAGCAAAGAAGAAGAAGCTTCATAATAAGCGTCCCAGGTGGAGTATGTGGCAGAAGATATGTAAAATGAACAGTTACCTTGATGTTTCCCAATATAGATTTTCCCCTGCAGGTCTGTAGAAAAGGAAGTGGGAGAAGATAAGCATCAGATCACCGCAGAAAACAACTTCCCGACCTTGCTATGCAGCTTTTCGAGGAGGACACAGGTCTATCAAATTTATAGCTCTGTTGTAAAGTAATGTACTCACCTCTGGATTACTTTGCAAGCAAAAATAGTGTATATCATTCCATATCTTTATTTTAAAGGGAAGAATGAATAAAGATACCCAAGAACATTTCACCTTTTGACTCATCTTTATATTTGAAATTATATTTAAAACAGGAATAGGAAATGGAATCGAATGGAATACTGTATTTGGCCAAATGTGATTTGACACACAAGGAATTTATCTCTGGTGCAGAAGCTCTCAGTATACATGTAAAGCAACAGAATAATAATATGATACCAATAAGTTTTGGTACTAGAGAAGATGAGAAGGATAATAATATTACAGCCATAATATTACAGCCATACAACATGGATGAATATACTTAGACATATGACTACTATGAGGATTAGATGTTCAGAACAGTGATGGTACGAGAAAAAAAATGTCCCTGTGTCTAGTGGCTTTGGCATGTTTTGGCAATTTCACGATTTTCCAAGGGAAGGAGTTGAAACAGTTTATGTCCAGGATGTGAGAAATCTGTAGTTATTTTCTCAGCCCTTCTGACCCTACAGATTATGGAAGGCAGGCTGGTTGCAATTGTTTTTTCTGTAGTCCTGACTATCCATTGGACTCTGTGCCTGTCCTGTTTATTTGCTGTACCAAACCAGACAGTTAAGTGCAAGTAACAGACTCAGTAATTCCTCTGTAGAACTGTATCAACAGCTCCTGGGACAATCTGAACTTCCTAAGTTGACACAGGAAGAACATGCTTTGCTGTGTCTTTTTAATGATGGTTCTAATGTTAGGTGCCCATTTTAAATCCTGGAAGATTATAGAAAGCAGAAACGTGAAGGATTCTACTGGTGATACTGTGTTGTCAAATATAGTAAGAGGTGGTAGAATAATAGGGCTCCTCCTAAAATCCACTCTCATCTCTAAATTTTTAAGCAAGTTCAGCTCCAGGTTATTCCTGCTGCACCCCAGGGCTAGTTGTTCAACCTTCCGTCTATATGCAGACTCATCACTGTCTCAAATGAGACCAATGATTGTTCTATCTCCAAAGTACTTTGACAGAAGGATGCAGTCATTGGGGCAGGGGGGGGGGAGAAGAGCATGGAGAGAGAGAGAGAACACACAGCCCTGAGGGGTGCCTGTACTAATTGTCCAGGTGCTCAGTGTGATTTTTCCTAGATTCACCTGTTGCTTTCTATCTGTATATAAATACGTAAAGTGAGTGTCACAGATATGAATACTTGATGGTATTCTCGACATATATAATATAGGTAGATATTTCTCATTGCTCTTCTGTTAAGTTTTTCTATCACATTTGCTCTCTCTTTCCTATGGTATTAGATCCATGTTTTCTGTCCATCAAGTTTCTTTTATTAGTTTTTTTAAAAACCTACAGAGAATCTCAGTGGCTAATAGGTATTTGGCTAGCCACTAGAGGATCACCCAGATATATTGTGTATATTTTATTCAGATCCATTGTTGAAGAAAGGTGGTTTATCAGTATAATTAAATAAATGATCAAAAATTTTCTTTTTTTTATCATCCTGTCTCTTTATTTTCATACCCTTCTTGAGCTTTTTTCTAAGTTCCTATCTAATTTTTTGCTGTTCCTTTCTCTTGAAGTGAGCTCACTTCTCATCCCAAGAGCATACACCCTTTTCTTTCCTCACACTCTACTTTCTGACAAAATATTAAAAAGTGATTTAATCTTTTATCAAAAGTAATTATACATGATAGAGTAGACAGATATATTTTCTAACTCCAGATACTAAACAGAAGAGCGAAAACTGCTGATAAAATGGAGTGTTTTTTAAATCTGCATTGTATTACTTCAAACAGGTTTCTTAATTCAGCTATGCTTACAGAAATTATCTCAGTTCCAGAAATAATGCCGAAGGGTTTATTTGCTGACATGCTTCCTTTGCATCTTAAATTTCAATGCATTGCAATCATATTTTCCTTAATCTACATAGCAAGATAATTTCATGTGTAATAAATGTATTCATTCACATGTAATAAATTTTTGAAATGTTAGATTCCTGATCATATCAACAATTTGGAAGTAAGTTATTTAAAGAAATGAGAATTTTTGGTGGATTCATTTTTATCCTTTTCATTCCAAGGAAAGTCTTCAAGAAAAGATTTCACATAGAAGCATTAACCCCACACATGGGCAGCAGAATTTACAGTAGCACTGTGCTGAGTGTATTTTGATACTACTGTGTTTCTCCGAAAATAAGACTGGGTCTTATTTAGAGCTCCAAAATAAACACAGCTTCCCAGGGCAGACACACTTTTTGCCCAGACGGAGAAATGACGGAGATTCGAAACTTTGTCTACTTGCAAATGGGATGCTTTGAAACAGAGCTAAGCATGTTGGAATCACCTCCCTTCCTCCATGCCTCTTGCTCTGCCACACACTTTTCGCCCACTTTTCACCCCCCAAAAAAATCAGGCTAGGGTTTATTTTGGGGGTGGGTCTTATTTTTCAGGAAACATGGTATTAAAGAGATGAGCATATTTGCCATGTGCTTCTCTCAGAATTCTATTTTGTTTCAGTTGCCAATTTCTGAGAAAGACTATGGGAATGTCAGGAAAACATAATATAAATTTGTTTTGAAATCACTTATGCACATTTTTCTTTTCTATTAAATATTTTTACAGGAGTCTTTGATGCTATAGGTCAGCAGGCCAGAGACTGCAATTTTTGTACTACGGCCCAGGTAATGCAGGACTAGGAGGCAGTGGCAGCAGCATGCTCTTACAATCAGTTTTTGCTCATAATCTCTATTGTGCCCCCCCCCCCCCCCCCAAATATTAAAGAATCAGCTTCAAGTCTAATTGAATCTGTTGTCCATCATTAAAGCAGCCAACTACTTAGGTGGTTTTAGTGATGCTTATATTTTCATTTCCGTTTATGTTTTCCCTTAGTTATCTATTATATTGTCCTGACCATTTCTCTTTCTGACTTATTTCTATAGGCTTTATGAAGAATCAAGCATCATTCCTTCCTCCCCTTTTAAGAATTGTCATTTGTTTCTTCAGTTTTAAAAAGAATGAATTGCGATGGCACAATGTCCAGAGCTGGAAAATGACAGCAGTATTAATGTATAGATAAAATGGAAGTTATTCAATAAAAAGTTAATTTTTAATTTGTGTGTGCAGTGTTTCTGCTGTGAGCTTTACAATGCAACTAATGAACAGAACTGATAACAAGATCTTATGAAACAACAATGTCAGTGTTAACCTTGATCTTCTGTTTGCCTAATATTATTTAGAATGTCAACGCTTTGGTGGAAAGACTGTTTAAATCTATTGTTATTTAATTTATATTGTGACATGTTAACAATTATATATCCTCTTTAAAATATATATATATAATTGTTCAGATCAGTGAATTGGCTGACAGGTGAAACACACACTTCTGTGTGTTTGTGTTACTATGCATGTAATTGTAAGGCCCAGACCCTTTCCCCTTCAGACAATAAGAATGAACTTTCAAAAACTGCATATTTCAAAAAGAATTCTTTATTGAAAAGGAAAAAGATCCACATGATGTTCAAAGCAGTGTCTAATATGCCTCTAGGCATGTAGCTTAGATAAAGGGAGTTAGAACCTCTCCCCTTAGTCCGGTGTGAATTTCGTCAATACAAATAAATAACATGTTAATTCCCCCATCCCCTTTTTTCTGGGAACATAATTGAGAAGAGCTTCCTAGGAAGTTTCTTTCAGAGATGGAATGTTTATGGCCTCTTCTCTTGCTATTTCTCCAAGAGGTGACAAGTTTCCAGGCATCTGGGCTCCAGTCCCCAGTTGTATATCATGTGCAAGTTATACAGATTCAATACAAGAATTAAGATATTCAGGTTACATCAAAAAGGATTACTTGTATCAAACCCCTTCTTCCATTGAAGAATGGCAGATACACGGATCTGACATTGCCCTCAAAAAATTGAGAAATCCACCTGGAAGACATAAAACGTGTTACATTTACAACTTAGGATGGTTTGTGAAGGTATTTCAGGTGGAACTTCTGTAGTAATGTGGGGGCTTTTACATGTTTGGCTACCCACTCATTTTGTGAGGAAGGAAGGTATTTCCAAGCTACTATTGTCAGGCATGATATTTTTCCGATTAAAATCGGAATTCCGATTTTTTTCGGAATCGCCCGGGCCGTGCGAGCGGAGCCCGGGCGAGCGGCGGGCGGTGCGGGTGGTGCAAGCGGCGGGTGCGCGCGGCGGGCGGTGCGAGCGGCGGGCGGTGCGAGGGGCAGGTGGGCGGGCACGCTCACGCGGCGGTCGGGGCAAGCGGCGGGCGGTGCGAGCGGCGGGCGGTGCGAGCGG